AGGCTAACAAAAATTCTCCTTTAATTTGATCAGGATTATTAAGTCCATTTTGAATGCACTTCTATGGAATCTTTTAGAGTTAACTGTTTGATGCAAACTTGTTTGTTAAAAACATAAACTTTAGCCATTTCTTCTTCTCTTTTAATTTTCTTTTTCTTTTTTTCAGTTTCTAATGTTTTTATTTCAATTGCAGATGAGTGTTTATCTCTATGTTTTGATTGCAATTGAGTCCATAATGACTTTGTTAAAAAAATTTGTTGAAATTTTAGATGGTGCACCAGTTGCACCTTTTTTAATTTCAATATTACACAATTTACATTAAGCAACTACTGGCCGCCCATGAGCAACAGTGAAATAATCTCAGACTACTGAAACATCTCTTTTAACCATTATCTATAACAAAATTGAATGTAAATAGATGATAATCATTACAAATAACAAATTTTGTCATAACATGATATAAGAAGCAACCTGTTTTACTGATATTTTATTATAAATGTAAAATAATTATTATTTTATTTATTATTATTGTTATCATTTTTATAATCTTCTTATTAATAATTGTAAAAAATAGTTTTAAAAATTATTAAAGAAAAGAATTAAAGAAATATTGGTATTATCAAAATAATAAAAATAACAAAAACATTAAATAAAAAAAAAAGAGCTAAAAACTTAACAAACCTTAAAATAACTTTTTCCAGATAGCTTTAACAATGGACTGATAAAAAAATACTCTTCGTATACCAGTCAAAAATAAGGAAGTCAGAATTTTTTTTTAGAATGATAGAAGTATTAAAATACTATTTGTATAAACTTTTCCCAAACAAATGGCTCATTATAATAAATGTTCTACTTGTACTTACCAAAAATTAAAGTAGTTAGACATTCACAATTACTAAACTGCTGCAATAAAAAAAGAGATAAAAAGTATTTAAATTTTATTTTACTATTATTCCTGTTTTCATTATTGTTGTTGTTATTGATGTTGTTGTTAATATTATAGTTATTATCATTATTATCATTGTTTTTATTATTATTATTATTCTTTTTATTTTTATTATTATTGTTACTATTATTATTGTAATTATTATTAGTTTATTTTTGTCACTCATTAAATACATTTTTTTTTTAATCACTATTTATATGTTTATATGTAATATATATGTAAATACATATAAATAATTAGAAATGTATATATATACATATACATATATATATATATATATATATATATATATATATATATATATATATATATATATATATATATATATATATATATATATATATATATATATATATATATGTATATATATATATATATATATATATATATATATATATATATATATATATATATATATATATATATATATATATATATATATATATGTATATATATATATATATATATATATATATATATATATATATATATATATATATATATATATATATATATATATATATATATATATATATATATGTATGTATATATATATATAAATATACATCAATCCTTGGAATTAGGGCTATATATATATATATATATATATATATATATATATATATATATATATATATATATATATATATATATATATATATATATATATATATATATATATATATATATATATATTCATAATCTAAAACAGAAAAACACTTATCACTTATTTGTAAGAAACAATTTTCATTAGCATGGAAATATTTATAGATATAAGACTTTTTATCCCTCTTGTATTATTCAGATATCCGAGTCTTGAAATGGTGAGTAGTTTTGCCTATATAACAGGAGTTACATCCTGCACATACAAATTTATACACCACAAACAATTTGAACTCTAGAGGAATAGGATCTTTAAAAGAAAAGAATTTAGAAATTTTCAATGAGGTAAACACTAATTTAATATTTTCTGATTGGCAATACCTTTTAGCAGTTGAATTCAGTCTTTTTATAGTTGAATCAGATTTTTTTCCCAAAAACAGCAGTTTAAAATAATAAATGACTTGTCTGCAGATCAATTATTATAAAGTTATAAAGGTTATTCAAAAATAAGCTTGGTTTTGTTTCAGTGAGTGTATACTACAAATATTGTTGTATTCTAATACTGAAGAGGATAGAAGTGTAGCTATTAATAATAGTTACACTTCTATCCTCTAAGATAAAAGATATTAGAGGTGCTGGATATAAAGATCTACAAAAAAGTGATTCTTCTCCTAGACCAAGAAAAGCTCCTGTTCTGAACTTTAATGCTGAAAAATTGGTAGACCTGACATCATTAAAGTCATTGGTTTGTGAACCAGTCCTTACTACCTCTCTAATAACTTCTGACACTAATGTGTTTTTATAAAATCCTATGCAGGTGCCAATTTGGCCATATCATGGACAACCTGTTGAACGCTGTATAAAGCAAGTTACTTAAAAAGGATTTGTCCGAACTCAAGAAGCGAGTTAATGCCTAAACATAATAGTAAACAAGACCTTGAAAATTTGACACAAATGTTTTCGTATTAAATTTATAATATTTATTGAAACAATTTGGGTTTTTTTAAATATCTTAATGTATTTCTAACATCAATACCAATAAAATTATTATGCAATGTTAAGCCAAACTGTATTTAAAATACATTGAAAATATTTTAATATTTATAAACCTCAATCTAATTTCAGTTTTAAATTGATATGCATATTAAAATTTAAATTCAAAGTCTAATTTCGAAATAAAAATATTTCTTTTAAATTTTATACAAGTTCTTAAAGGGACTACCAAGTCCCGAGACATGTTGTGTTCATATTAAAGAGAATGTTAAAAAAAACGTCTGAGCAAATTTTTTTAAATTAAAACTAATTAAAAAATGCATACCAAGAAAAACAAATCTTTTTGTTTTAGTTGAAGCTTGTCTTCTCCATTTTCTGCGGTATTTGGAGTTTCCAGGCGCATTATACAAACTTGATAATTTATTCAAGTGCGTTTAATTCATAGAAGTTTTAGTACATGACATCATTGGAAACATTCTAGAAATTCTTTAAAAATTTTACTATTAAATTTTACTAAAATAGCTAACTATAGTTAGTTATTTTATTTTCTAAATTTTTAACATTGAAAAACTTTATGTTTTTTTGTAGCTATCAGAGCTGGGGCTACATGGGCCACGGCGATGGTGGACCTAGGGACCCCTATGGCGCTAAATCGAGTTATATAATATCTTCGATGATTCACAAGTGTATTCTTTACATTTTGATGCAAATTGTTTCGACAAATCTAATGAACAATTAATTAAACCAAGCACTAGGAGAAGATATAAAAAATAAGAATATACTAATAAAATATATAATTTTTAATTAACTTTCAAAATTTTGACAATTTAAAAAATGTATATTATAAAACATTTATTTTTGTAAACAAATGATAATAGTTTCAAAGATTTACGGCTTTGCAAAAATTTTTTGTGGCTCCAAGAATTTTGCAGATGTGACTCAGATGAATATTTACAGATTTGTGGCTCAGATGAATGAGCCATAATATTTAATTTTTTGTGGCTCCGAGAATGAACCATAATATTTAAGTAATAGTTCATTTGATAATATATTCTTACAAAAATTTATGCTAGTTATCTCAAAACGCAACAAATCGTAAATAATACAATTCCTAAAACAATTCAACAGAATACTCTAGAACTTTATTTCGTTTAGTCAGCGTATTTTTTGTACCGATAGAATTTGTTTGTAAATTTGGCGGGTTTTTAGTGTTCGCAAATATTCTTTTTATTCTTCCGCAAGATGTTTTATGAACAATCAAGTTAATTATGTTTCCATGTATGTCCGTAAAATAAAAATTAATCTATATTAACTTTTTAATTTTTAAGCCCCCGCCATAATATATATTGGATGTTATAATAATGGAAATATAAATAATGAAATAAGATCACCTCAATACCAAAAAATACATTTTTGAAAATCAGAGAAAAAATTCATTCATAATTTTTTTTTTTAATATTTACAAAGTAAATTAATAAAAGTGCATTATTATTTAGGTTAAAAATTATTTTTATCTAATATTTTGAAAGAAAAACTTAAAACAAAAGAAATCAAAATACATGTGGTCTAGACGATTATTTAAAAAAAGATGAGCAAATAAAATACTATTTTGTTTTTAATTTTTTTACAAACACATTTTAGAACTTTAAATGTAATAAAAATGAATATGATTTGGAAATTGCATGTAAAAAATATTAATCGGTGTTTTAAAAAAACAAACAAAAAACTCTATGACGTCATGTACTAAAACTTCTATGAATTAAACGCACTTGAATAAATTTCCATGTCTTTATAATGCGCCTGGAAAATCGCATTTGTTTGACAGACTCCAAATACTGCAGAAAATGGAGAATACAAACTTCGACTAAAACAACAAGATTTGTTTTTCTTGGTATGTATTTATTAATTAGTTTTAATAAAAAAAAATTTGCTCAGACATTTTTTTTTAACATTCTCTTTAATATGAACACAACATGTCTCGGGACATAGTAGTCCCTTTAAAGATTCATATCAAAATTAGTTTTTATCAAACTTTATATAGCAACTGATATTTATCAAATAAAGTAAAAAAAAGCTTATTTATGTTTAAGTAAAAACCGAGTTTTTTTAAGAAACCAGGTCAAAATTTTATTGAAATATAAAAAAGTCAAGTTACCTAAGCAAAAAAATTTTTAATTAAAATTTTAAAGCCATATCTGGATCCTCAATTTTTTTCCTGAACAAAATCTAAAATCGACCCTAATAAGAAGACTAAATTATTTTTATAACTAAATGCTTTTTTTGTTTTTTTTTGTATTTCTTCTTAAGTCATAAGTCTTATTAAACATCTTTCTGTGACAACATCAAGTAAAAATCTCTCTCTATTCATATATGAATTAGTAAGAAAACATTTTTTCAACTTTGTAATTTCTATTGTCTGTTTTTTAAATATCAAAACTATAAATATATCAAAACTTACCCAAGTCAAAATTGTACATACAGTATGTCATGAGAATATTGAACAGTTTTTTAACATTTTCTTCTCCAGCAAAAAACTTTAATTTTCTGTCTGTTCTTACTGCATCTTTCTCTATAATAAATAATTATAAAAATTATTTTAGAGGTAAATCATTAATTTTATGATTAAAACCATGCTCAGAAATCATATATACAATGTTCTAAAATATATCACATAACATTTTTTTAAGTTGTAAAGAATTTTAAGGTGTATTTAAATATATAACAAATAGTTTATATATTTAAATTTCTTTTGTGCACATGTTTTTTTGAAGCATATTATAAATTTAAATACATTTTTTTTGTAATTGACAAAGTATATACAAAGAATTTATAAAGGTTTATTGGTCAGTTTAAATATAATTAACTCATAAAAGCCCTATTTACAAAGTTGACAATTGTATTTCATATAACCCCATCATTTTCATTATTAAACCATAGTTTTTTAGTGGAAAAAGTAAATTTAAATTTAAAATATTTTATAAGGATAGGTTTTTTGAGCGACATAAAAAGTTTTATAAAGATTTTTGACTGGCATAAAAAGTTATACAAGTATAGATTTTTGACCAAAGTAAAAATTTATATAACGATAGGTTTTAAGTTCAAGAACTTAAAACTTATTTTATTATATTATTATTTGCTTACATAAAGAAAAAAAGATTAAAAATAAAACATCAAATTACCAACTAAATTTTTTTTTTGACTAAATTCAGAAAAACGTTTTTCTTGTGCAGGCGTAATCGTTTTCCATTGCATCATCATTGTATTATAAAGTTTACTAAAAGTTTAAAAATTGCATCATCATTAAAATTTTTTTTTACATTGCATCATCATTGTATTATAAAGTTTACTAAAAGTTTAAAAATTGCATCATCATTGTATTATAAAGTTTACTAAAAGTTTAAAAATTGCATCATCATTGTATTATAAAGTTTACTAAAAGTTTAAAAATTGCATCATCATTGTATTATAAAGTTTACTAAAAGTTTAAAAATTTTTTTTACTTACAATACTACAAGTTTTATTTGCACAAAAATTTTTAAATTACGTATAATACTACAAGTTTCATTTGTACAAAAATTTTTAAATTACTTATAACACTACAAGTTTTATTTGTACAAAATTTCAAATGAAAAAAGTAATTTAAAAAGTTTTTTGTAATGATAAAAATTTACTTTAATGAGTAAAAAAGAAACAAAAATGTTTTAACAACAACAATGCAAAAAAAAATTTTTTCTTTTAAAAATCTCATTATGCTCTTCTTTAACAAGAGATTACTTTTAATCGCTTTTTAATCTTTTATTGACCTTTTTCAATCCCTTCTCTATTTTATTCTCTATTTCTCATTAAATTTTATTTATTTTTAACCAATATTTAACCAATACGGCTTTTTTTATTTTAATATTTTTTAAATCTGTTTTTAAATCTGTTTTTAAATTGCCTTTTTATCTTCAACCTCTATTAATTTTAAATAATTCTTTGCCTTCTGTTTAATCTCTAAAGATTTTCATATAGTCGTTTTTTAAACTTGTTTATTAATTTTTTATATCCAACAACCTTGTCTATTACATATCCCATTAAAGTTTTTTTTTTAAGTTTCTTTGTCTATAACATTAACACATTGGCCATTAAAGCTACTGGTTTTCAAAGCCAAACTTTCTAGATTCAAAACAAATTCTTGTGTATTCTCCATATATTCATCATATATTGCTCATATCAAATCATATGATCTCTTCTCTCTTATGTTAGATTTGCATGAAACATTTTTCTTAACTTTTCTGTGCTTGCTGATGGATTTTTCTAAAAGAAAAATGCATTTAAACTCACCTTTGTTGATCTATGAACTTGCCAAATTATGTAGGAAGATAACAAATTACTAATTTTCCTATTTGTTACAACTTTAGATGCTAATTTTGATGGCACAAATTTTATGTTCATCTTCTTCTTATCAAAATAAGTAATAGTGCTCTTGGATCATCCAGGGTTACTGGAAATGATAATACCAGCATGCAGTTTTGTGTGTATGTTGGCCAGGTACTTAGCCAAGCAAAAAACTGCAGGACACAAAGTGTACATGTCATTTTGCCCAAGATGGCGGCCAACATGTAAGATGGCCACAAAAAAAGCAATGAACTCTCATATATCTGTTGCGTAGAACTGGTAAAAGTTTAATTTTTTTAAAAACAATGTTTTCAAGGAATTCATTTCTGAAAAAATAACATTAAAAAAAAATACAAAATGCCCACAAAAATCTGATGTGGACAACCAAATTGTGTGTTTATTTTTAATAAAATAAACACTCTTTGTTTTACTAATGATTCAAGTTTTGTTTTGTTTTTCAGGTATATGAAACTACTCTTGCAGTTTCATTGCAATTGTTGATCATCTACTTATGTAAAATATCTCAAAAAAGAAAGTTAAAGTTTGTAACATTGAAGACTTAGCAAAGCCATAAATCAACTGGGATGTGTAAGTATTCTGTCAGGAGGCAACAAAACCTATTATAACACCAACAGGAGGTAACACAGTTCTTATAACACCAACAGACACCAGTTACACCTTGCTGGCAAAACCTCTCTACAGTTACTTTCAGAACATACAAATTTGCCAAGACTTTTTAATTGGCATCAATATAAAGAATTAGACCTAGAATACACTTACGTGCTGTTGATTTAGGAGACAAACCCATCATAGTTAAAATAACTTCCAAAGCTCCAGTAGTTCTAGAAGCATCATAAGCAATGTAATGCTAGATTTCTTAATCATGGTGTATAAACTCTGATACTACAGGTGATTGTATATCCACACCAAAATTTTTATAAAGGCTCTTTGGTTGAATAATTGATTCAGCACATACATGTGTATTTGTTTGGTTTTGATTCTCCAGTTTATGACTTTATGAACTAACAAACCTAGTTAACAGAAGTGCAATCTTGACCTGGATAAAGAAAAATGTCAAATACAACCAAATTAATGACCTGTTAACCTCAAAACTAGGGTTTACTGTCAAAAAAAAGTCATAAAGTTCTGCTGATTTTTAATTGAATGCTGGTGATACTATATGAGATGTGTGCTTATAATGTGATAAATAATAACATGTATCTTGCTAAAGCTGCAAGTATATGCAAGGTATAACATGTTTGATCTCTAATTTAAAGTTTTCAGATGACTTGTGAGAAACCAGTACAATGTGCAATTTATTTAAATGGTGTTAGAAGGGCCGGATTTAGAAACAAATTCATTTTCACCTCAAACAGGTGCCTGCTCTGTTAAATGCAAGCTCTATTAAATGTTCTGTTAAATTTAAGAACCACATGAAATCAGTTTATTTGTTTACCATGAAACCTAACCTTCATTATACATTGATCTTCTCCTTCCCTCAAACACCCTTAATGACAACTTATGTGAACTTGGGTTGAGTGTTTCGTATGAAAAAGTGCAGCAGCTCTGTAACACATATGGAACATGGTTTTTATTTGCTTGCCAAGTTTGTAAGAAGCATTATTTACTACAACTGCCATTGAAAATATTGACTGCAACATGACATCATCAACTGCTGCTGACTTTTTTCATGGGACCAGCATCACTGTCATTCAACATGTTGGTTAAGAAATTGTTGAAATTCCCTCATATAGTCTGTGTAGCAGTCTTTTAGAAAATGAAAAAATACATTGTAGTTTACCTTTATTATATGCAATAGTTCCATCAATAGCAAAACAAATATAAATATTCCTTTACCATCTGTGATTCCAAAATATGAAAAGTACTGTGTTGACATTGTTAGCAAGACAATTGCATGGCTTTGTAAAACTGAGATGATCAAGAATGGCAAATATGATGCTGAAAACTGTTTTTCCTGGTCAGCTTACCATTCTAAAATATCAGAACTAAAAAACATTATAAAAAGTCATTCAACATTATTGCCACTATTTTCCAGATGAAACTCAGTTGCCTACAATGATATCACATACCAAGAGAATAGGTCCTAGACAACTGCCATAACAGACTGTCAGCTTGTTAATTAGGATGTCCCAGAAAAAAAAATTGAAAATAACTATGGCAATCTTCCTTATCGGGTCTCACTATAACATCAAAAAGATATCTGGTCTCTAAGACATTGTTTTGCTGAAGGTGTTTTAGAAAGAAAATTCATATAAATTATAGCAAAATTACGAGTTTAATTTTTTTTACATTTTATGTAAAAAATATTAAACTCTTGATTAATTTTAAAAATATTTGCTGTTATTCAATACATAATTTATAACAATTGCATTGGTTTCAAATGTTTTCAAAAATGATATGTTGTAAATAATAAATTCTCAATTAAGCGAGAATTACTTAGTTTTTTTTTTGGAAAAAATGCATTTCAAAAACAAAGAAATACTGTGAAAATAGTTTTTTATTTAAACATTCAAGTCTTAATTGGTGGCATGTTTAGACACCTTCCACTAGTTGTCTAAAACCACCATCATTGTGTCTTGGAGCCGATCTTCTAATGTGTCCTGCCTATGAAATCCTTCACTAATTTGATGTGCTTTTCAGTCCTGTCATTAGCAACTGCTAGTTGATGTACACTAGACACAAATTTCTTAAAAGAACTGTTTTAAAACTTTTCTCCAAATTTGACCAACATATGTATTGTTAACAGATGCATTGAGTCAGCCATGAACCTTGCTTTATGGTGCTCATCAGGTTGTAGAAACCTAAAGTTTGGCAAATCTGCTCCAAGGTAAAAAGCAATCAGTTCACAAAAATACTTGTAACCACTTCTGTCAAATACATTTGTTTCAAGAGTTGTTTTGCAGAAGATTGTAAAAGAGGAATCCAGGAGCAAACTCAGGTTTGTTCCAATCCAATTTTTCAATGTTATTTAGTGTATTCACACCATTCTCAATCTTAGACCAAAGATCTTTTGTATTTTTATAAGGTCAACTCTCTCGATTCTTTCCTGTACTTTTATCATAACATAATAAAAAGCATTGTTGATGTGGAAATATTTTTGTAAAATAAGAAGTCTTAGAAAATTAAAGTACTTAAAAAACATGTTTTAAACATTCAACTAAATTAAATTTGATTGAAATAATTTTTAATTTTTTGCACTTTTAAACAGTTCTTATTATAGCTTATCTCTCTTAACCCTTTCTTTAAATTTTCAACATACTTTAGATTCCATTATTTAAACTTACGTTTTCTCAGCAGTAATTTCATTGCGCTCAACATAAGTTGAATCAAAAGGATAAAATCCCAACAAAAACTTCCATACTTCACGTTTAATATCTTGATGAATGCCCTAAAAATAAAACAATAAAACAATAAACAGCATCTAAGGGTATTATCTATGGTAACAATATCTAAGGGCAGGTTTGTTACTACTTTATACGTTATGAAAATATTTGACTTAAACAGCATATTTAATATAGGAAAATATATAATATATAAACTTTTTGTATGTTATATAGGAAAATACATAATATATAAACTTTTCGTATGTTATATAGGAAAATACATAATATATAAACTTTTTGTATGTTATATAGGAAAATACATAATATATAAACTTTTTGTATGTTATATAGGAAAATACATAATATATAAACTTTTTGTATGTTATATAGGAAAATACATAATATATAAACTTTTTGTATGTTATATAGGAAAATACATAATATATAAACTTTTTGTATGTTATATAGGAAAATACATAATATATAAACTTTTTGTATGTTAAGAAAACAAATAAAATACATAATATATAAACTTTTTGTATGTTAAGAAAACAAATAAAATGTTAAAAAAAAGCAACAGAAAAAACAATGCAGTAAGCTATTTAAAACAATTAAAAGACTCTTTCTTAATTTTATTAAAGTATAGAAATAGTCATTAAAATCCTTTTTATAAACTTCTATATATGAAATGCAAACCAAAATCGACTTTCACAATTAAGAACAAAATTCTAAAAAGAAAATTTATATCTGAAAATTTATAAAAATATTTTAAGACTTTTGCAGATTTTAATTTTAAAATTTACAAAACCGTAGCAGGTTTTATAAATTTTAAAATTAAACAATTAAAAGACTCTTTCTTAATTTTATTAAAGTATAGAAATAGTCATTGAAATCCTTTTATAAACTTCTATTTATGGAATTTAAAACCGTAGCAGGTTTTATATATTTTAAAATTAAAAACAGGTTCATAAAATTTAAGGAATCCATATTTTTCACTAATTCTTTTTTTTAACTCAAATATTTAATAAAATAAAAATATTTTGCAAATAAAACAAATTTAAATTTAATTATGCATATGTATGGTATGATAATAAATAAATTTAAATTTATTAATGCACACAAATGTAAGCTTTTTTCTTTATAAATTAAGTTGATAACAGGTAAAATTTAATGCTAAATTTAAACAAGATATTGTTTTTACTTTAGTTGCATTCTATATGGAAACAACTTTTCTATAATTTGCAAGAAAAACTTTAAATCTATTTTTATCATTTTATTCTATGGTGCTTAACTATATTTATTTTTAATTGTATTTAATAGCTTTATTGAGCAAATGCTAAGTAATTTTTTCAGCAATAATAGCCACAATTATCATATTCAATTATCATTATTAGAAGTAACTCCTGATGATTGTCTTCATTGTGAAGATTGTTTGGAAAGTCTGATATAACTTTAACAGATCTTTCAGAAACATTGTTAAATCACTGCAAGGTTGGAGACACATTGGGAAAAAGTCTTTAATTGGTATATACTCCCATAGTGGTACTGGGCTGTTAAACCAAAGTTTATCATTCAGTTTAGTGAGGTTTAACAAACTAAATATGAACTAAGAGTTAATAGTGCGATACTTTTAGGTTTTTTTAGCTTAAAGTTAAGAGCTTTAATAAATTTAATTTCTTGGAATGTCTGAACAATTCAGCAGCTGGTTTTAAGAAGAACATTTTCACAACATTTTCTCTCTCTGCAACAGAAATATCATAATCTTGAAAAGTGAAACCAAAGTTTCATCAAGGTACCATGAATGCAATACCATTGGAATCATCGTGGCACCAATACCATTTAAAATTGTTTTAGAACGCTGAATATTTTTTTCTACATATTCTCTATATTTCATCATTTGCAAATAGGCTTTTATATCCTGGAAAGGTGCAGCATAAGATAAGGAAGTTTTTAAAAGCAAAATAAAAGATTGAGATTAATTTAGCCATAGTCTGCATTTATTTATTTCGATTACCTTTTAATTTTTAAGAAAGCTGCAAACTCAATAACTGAATTTTGAGATAATGGCCTTGGGCATAAAACGTGTATGAGACACACACTATGGAGCTTAAATTTAAAAAACTCTTTCAGAAAATAAATACATAAGGTTCAGATTCAATTTGCAATCTCTTTTGTAATCTTAGTAATCTCTTTGTAAACCTTTGTAAATCTCTTTGTAATCTCCTCTGGGAAAAATGTTTACTTTAAGAGCCATCTTGCAAAATTTTACAGTGTTGAATGATTTCTAGTGTTAGCAATAGATTGACTATCATACTTGAAAATTTGAAGAGTCAATGCAATTTTTAATGTCATTCTAGTTTATTTGGTACCATTTGAACATAAAGTTTTCTGGGAAATTTAGTTTTTCCACTGCACTGTTTTTCAAAGAAGCATTTGAGATGTAATCATGTCTTCTGCAAGCCAGCTCTAGTAAAATTGAGTTTTGTTTATGACTAACCTGGCATTGGTACTGGAAAATCTTCCTGTATTTGTAGCAGTTGTATTAAAACATACCTTTTGCGTCATCACATTTTCCTTATTTTTTCAGTATTTTAACTAAAGCATCGCGTTGAGTTTGTCCAGTACCATGATCAATAGCTGAAATGCCAAGAAGCTTTATTTCACCAACAATATTTAAAGAGACTGCAAATCTATCTCTTTTTGATTTTTTACTTTTTGTGATATCTGCCTGAACTTACAACTAAATCCCTGTATAGATCTCTTTGATGAAATATTTTTTGATACTGATGTCATGGCAATATCATTAACAAAATCCTTTACTAAGGCTTGTTTTTGATTACTTAGGTCTGGTTGCCTAAGCAATATGAAATAGCTGATTCTATACTAATATCACTTATGTCTGAGTAAACTCTAGCTCAATAAATAATTAATTGTTTCATATTACATTTTGTTAACTGTTTCTTTTCTTTATTTACCCACTTATAACTCAAGACTTTGTTCCCCAAGGTCATGAGACTTTTAAAATTTTAAAAATTTAATATCAGCATAACATGAAAATTTATCAAGGCTTTTTTTTCTTTAAGATTTCTTTAATATTATCTTTACTAATCCAAAAAACTTGCCTCCCTACTTCTTGAATTTTTCCCTAGATTCTTCCCTACTTCTTGAATTCTTCCCTAGATTACTCTGCTGCTTTAGAGTCCTCTTACTTTTCTTTAATGTCTCCTATCAATTAAACAAGTCTCTACAAGTAATATTATCCCTACAAAAATTATTAAACAAGTAATATTATCCCTACAAAAATTATTAAACAAGTAATATTATCCCTACAAAAATTATGATACAAAAATAATAAATTAAATGAACTTACAATATTAATGACACATTTACAATAATTCATTATATAACACATCCTAACACCATGGCAACCAAAGCACAGTCTCTATATTTGTTTTATTGTTCGATAATACGAAATTTTATTTAATCAATAATTAGTCAGACAAAGCACCTTATAGTTATTTCAAATGCTACAAACCCATACATAATAATTATTAAGAAAATAATACAGATTAGTATGAGCAGTGTTCAAAAAAAAAAACCTTAATCATCTACTAGCCTAATAAATTTAAAAATTTATCATTCCTATTTTATTGTAATTTGAAATTATAATTCTTACTTTATAGATTTGTCCATGAGTAATCTATGTTTGCAACCTCCATCTAACCATCTAATATTTCAAGTTTTAATACTTTTAAACTTAAAACTTGACTCAATTTTGAGATACTTAAATTTTGAGAAACTTGAAGGAAAAAAAATTTGTTCTATAAAATGCTTTTGCTTTTAGAGTAAAATTTATTAGTTGAAGTTTTGCTATCAATCTTATTTTCATCAATATTATAAATTTTTTTTACTGCAAAAAGAATAGAGTCATCAGGACAATTGACAAGACTGAAGTATTTTTTGCAATTTTATTGGGTCCATCAGTACAACCAATAAACTTATAGGATGGAGTTAACTTCTAGGTCTTTTATAATAATAAACTTATAGGATGGAGTTAACTTCTAGGTCTCTCTAGGTCTTTTAAATTGAAAGTTAAGAATTAATTCTTTATTTATTGCAAAAATTATTCAGTGTAAGTTTTCTGTCAGTTTTTCTTCTTCAAGTAAATACTTTTTAGCTTTTAATCTTGTAACTTCAGCTATTTTGATTAATATTAAAAAATATTTCAGAAGACTACTTATTAATAGTAATGCAAATGTAGTTTTAAACACTTTGTCTTAGGATTGGAAAGTTGTCGTTAACCTTTACATTATTAATGGAGTACTTTGGTTAATACAGTTTTAAATAATGTTTTCCAATTAAATGTCTTAAATAAAATCAAATTTCTAGATTTTAAATTTATTGTGCTCTATTTTTTGTTAAGTAGGGGCCATTGAGGTTATTTAGTAGGGGCCATTAAAATCTCCATGGATCAAAATAGCTTTTTTTTAAAAACTTAATTTGACATATCTGTCCTAATTGGACAGACGAATCCTAATTTCTTGTTTTTGGAACAAAGCGACGAATCTATGTGCGACAAACAGTTACTGAAAAATTTCATCCACAGTGTATTCAGTTTAATGTCAAACATGGTGGGGGTTTATTATTGATGTGGGGCTGTTTTGCTTCTAACCAGGTTGGTAATCTCATGAAAATAAATGGAATTCTTGTTAAGAAGGGATATCATAAGATATTATGTAGACATGCCATGCCTTGTTGAAAGCATTTAAATGGCCACGAGTTCACTAAGCAACAGGATAATGACCCAAAACACACTTCTAAATACTGTAAAAACTATTTACAAAAAAGAAGCTTGCTGAGAACTCAAAATTATGACAAGGCCCCCACAATACCCTGATCTCAACCCAATGGAAATACTATGGGAACAACTGGATGGTGAGGTGAAAAGAAAAGAGTGTTCTACCTTGACAATTTATTTGTGGTCAATTTGCAATTGGTGTAGGATAATATTTCTCAAATTTACATACATACATATATATATATATATATATATATATATATATAT